ACCTGCATTCAAATGTCAACACTGCATACAGACACACCCCTACATTCAAATGCAGACACTTAACACAAGTAAACCATTCAAATGGCAACAATGCAACAAATGGTAACAAAGCAGTAAACTGCTTTCAAATGGCAACAATACATAAAACCACACACTACACACAAATACACCCCTGCATTCACTCACACAAACTCAATACAAAAATATGCTTACATTCAAACATACAAACACTGCTCAATACTAAATACAACAATGGGCAAATGGTAGATCCCCAGCTGAAAAAGCATTGTTGGAGTTGTACAACAGATAGAGATCTACCTTTTTTCCATTCTTGCAATAGGTGGGCTCCAAAACAATACTTGCTTCAGTGATTCTCTACTATAGTTCCGCCACTCATCAGTTTCCAACATTCATTACTCTTACAATTGCTGTGAAAATTAAACAAGTGTTTGAACAGCATTAGAAGGTTTGATAATTGTCTTTATCCTATTACCTAATGCTATGACCAGACTATTCTGACACGTGAATTGCATTCTTACACTTAGGAGGATTTTTGTCAGCCTATATTTAGCTCTGATTCCTAGTGGGACAAATTAGATTATCCCACTAATGGGAAGTAGACAAAGTAATCTCTATGTCAATACTTTTGTGCTTTTCACTAAAGGAAATGGTGCTTTAAGCCTTTACATTTAAGAAATACATCTTGTTGATCTGTAAAAGGGAAACATACATATTGGGAAAAAAAGAAGAAAAAAATCAAATGTGTTGTGTACTGTACTGTTGCAACTTGCAATTATTGGGTTAGGCTTCATGTGTAAATACTTACCAGTCTCAAATTATACACCAGGATGCAGCCAGGAGCGATACCACACTGTATCACCACCATTTTTTTTTAAGACCTTACATTTCAATTGTATTACTTTCAGATCCAAATGTCATGATGGTTTCTGGTACACTGCCATTGACTTAATACCCCAGCCACCATGGATAGACTATGGATAGACCATTTTAAGCCAATTTATTATTTTAATCTACCAAATCGTGAAGAGGAAATATGTGAATGTGAAAGACCAATAATTACCCTCCCGAAAATCGTAAGTCATAAAAAATTAAAATCTCTTTTTTTTTACCCTACAGCTAAGCTTGAGTGGCATCAAACTCACTAGCAGGGACAATAACATTTTTAATAAGATTGAAAGAGCACATACCGTGCCTCTTTTCGTTGACAGAGTACAATCAGTACTTACACAACAGTGATCTTTAAAGGAGTCATACGTCTTCTTCCTTAACCACTCTCAACCTGAAACACCATCAAACTACCTCTGAACATACACATAAAATGGCATCTGTTGAGAATCCTTTGGGCCTGTATATTATTAAATATTTACTTGTATTTTCTCTACAGTAGCTTAATGCACATCACAAGAAGCCTCGGATTGCTTTACTATGTTAATTTAATTCCACTGGAAGCTGGTTTTTACTACTCTGTCTACATGTATAAAGTATCTTGGATAATTTCCTCACCGTGATGTTCTCAACTTTGCACCATGCTTTCTATAAGAATCGCTCTAATTAAAATGTGAATTTCATCTATTCAGGAGCATTTCTACGTGGCCTTCAGCCAAAGGGTTAGTTGTATGGCATATCCCACCTACATTGACTGAAGCCCCTCTTAAAACCAGTCCTATATCATCACTGGGCCCTAACATGTTTAATAAATTACATTGTGACTCTAAAACTTTGAATGCATTCAGAGTAGCTTCAAATATGGTGTATTAATCGGACACTCTATCAATTTATGTAATTGAATGTATTACTTTTCTCTCCGAGCTACGGAATATGTAAATATTATAAATTCCAGAAATAAATACAAATAAATAAATGATTACGTGAGACTCTGGACTAACAATGAAATGGGGACATCTACTCCATGACGGTCCCCCTAGCAATGCACCTGAATATTTGCCATCTGAAAAGTTATAATAGAAGAAGAACATTGTAAGTATAATGTAATATAATCGTTTGCTAATTCAATTAATCTATATTATTGTTTTTTTTTATTAAACAAGGGTTGTTTGTGTTAAATGTATGATGTATAGTGCATATTAAAGCACAATTTCCTCATTTTAAAACTAATCATTTAAAAATCAACTAGCTATATTTGGGCTGATATCTGCAGTTCAGTTATGGGTCACTTGTCCTTCTGGATATAAGTGCCTCATATATAATATGCTTAACATGCTTTCCAGCTTCCCATAGACCCACTAATCTATGACAATATGCTTTGCTTAATCTCCTTTACATGATACTGACCGAGCTGTTCAGCTTTGTCTTCCTAAATATCAAGATTTATCGTGATTTGATTGTCCAATGGGTTATCTATCTCTTGAATGTTTGGGCAATCAGATATTGAGTATATGTTATTTTTTTGTTTATTTCGGTATTACAAGATGCTGGATCTACATATGTGTGTTCCTTCAGTAGCAACAAGGGCCTTCTCTGCTACATACGTATGAATGTGACGATATTACAGGAAGAATAATACAAAGTAAATCACACACTGTAGCTATTTATAATGTGTTCTATGGAAAAAGAAGCATTTTTTTTACCTAGGGAGATATTTACTATAGTTTTAGTTATTGATGGGCTTTCAATTGATTTTTATTTGCAGGGTTATTCACAAAAGTGAGAATTTGAGTTAAATTAAAAGTGAAATTCAAATGTAAAATCAAAATAGCAGAACCTGAAAACTTCTCTTAGTCAGCTATGCGTTCAGTTTGGCTACTCTGGCCTTAACTTTTAAATTTACTTTGAATTCTCTCGGTAAATAACCCTGATAATATGGATACCGAAATAGATTAACTGGAAAAAAATATCCAACTGAACTGCGTGAGCTGACCTTTCACAACATGCAGAGGATGTAGAAGGATCAGTGTGAATACAAGAGCACTTTTTTTAATTAGAAAAATATTAATGTCTTATGGCTAAACGGCTCCTATGTTATATCTCTGGTTGCATATATTAATGTATATGTAACAGATGGGTTGCCATGCACCATTACATACTCCACTAATAACCTGCATGATTAGTTAAGATGATTAGCATCTCTGTCCAGCTTGCAAAATATTAGATGTCTGGAATGTGAGATTTGCTTATTTGACATTTTAAATAGAATATATCACGCAGGGATGTATTCTCAAATGATGAATTAGAAGTATTGTAACAGTACAATGACAGAATATTCCAACTAATAAAATCAATCAACTGACAGAAATGTGTACAATAATAACATCACATTTAAAGCACTATCTGTAATCCATCTATTACTATCTCTCAATTAATTACAATAAATTAAAGGAACACTATAGTCACAGAACAACTACAGCTTCATGTAAGTATAGTCAGTTTCTGCAGGCTTTTTGCAGCAAACACTGTATTTTCAGAGAAAAAGCAGTGCTTACATTACAGCCTAGGAACACTTCCAGTGGCCACTCCTCAGATGGAGGACTGACATTCCGTCTATCCATTCTTTGCATAGAGACACTGAACTTTCCTCATAGAGATGTATTTATTAAATTAATCTCTATGAGGAGATGCTGATTGGCCAAGGCTGTGTTTGGCTCCACCTCCTAGGCTGCAATCATCAGAAAGGACCATCTCAACCAATCCAGTTCTTTCCTATGGGGAAGCATTGTGATTGGAAAAGATTATCACTTCTGATGATGTCAGCCAAGGAGGCAGATCAGGTGCAGAGGCAGCACCAGCAGACTGGAATAAAAGCAAGATTTTACTACATTTAGAGGATCGGAGAGGGGAGGAGGGGGAAGGCATGTGGGCTAGATCGTGTTTGTTCAACACTATAGAGTAAGGAATTCATGTTTGTATTCCTGACCCTATAGTGTTCCTTTAAAAAGAGTGAAATATAGTGGTTTTAAAATATCCTCCAGAATGTCTTTCTAAATATGCAGATGAGCACAGACAGACATCATGTTTCATACTTCATCTCGTGTTTCTGCAGATATATCCTGAGCAATGAAGCTCTGTATTAAACCAAGCCCTGTTTTATACAAAGCAAGGGTTGTAACCTAGAAGGACCAATGATCAAGAAACAATTATTTAGTGCACATTTTTGTTTTGCTTAGATATGAAATAAGCACACATGAGTTTTACAAAACCAAAACTTTAATTCATTTATTCAGTTTATTTCTGATAGATTGACCAGGTTGTCTGCTTATGGATTGTGATAACTGTGTTGCTCCATGCATATATTTACAAGATTCTCATAATGCCTTTTATACTAAACTTGCGCATGGCGAGAAAATTTGATTCAGCAAAAAAATTTTTCAAAAACAGAAAACATTTCCAAACACCCTAATTTTGCCCATTGTTGGTTTGGCATGGCAGAATTTTATAACTGAGATTCCAATTCGGAAAGAGAATCTGAACAACAAAAAATGGAACGAAAATTAGCCAATCGGTGTGCTGCAAAATATATGCATAATATAGTATTATGTATATATTTCGCAATATGTTGATAAGAGCTAGTGAGAAAATGTAACCACTACAGTAAAAAAATTTAAAAAAAAAGAGAACTGGAAGAGTGGTAAAAACAAAAATCTATATTTATATATTTCCCTCTATTGCACATTTTTCACTTGATCTGTGAGTAAAATAAACAATTAATGACTGTCACAATACCATCAATCATGTTTTTTCCCATAAATCATCTCATCTCATTTTTTGGCGCAATGTGCGGAATTCAGATTCACGACCCAGAAATTAATATGTTTATTGGTTTGGTTGGTCCATGATTCCCGTACTATTCAGCCCAAAGTTATAGAGTTCTGTTGATTACCCGATCAGCCTAAATTGGAATTTCACTTCAACACCAAAATGAATCTACAAGTCTACTTCATTCATAGAAAATGGGGCAGGATAACTGTACAATTTATATCTTTTAGGAAACATATGAGATTCCCCAAAATTGCCTGTTGCCTTTCCTAACACAATTCTTGAGTGCAAACTGGTACAAGACACAATAACAGTTAGTGTGAATTTTCTTGGATTTATGCAATGTATCTTTGCCTAAATGTCATCTACCAATAGGATTAGCATTTTAATAATCCTATGGGCCAAGTGGTCTGCAAATGTTTGGAGAGTAAGCATTGACAGCTGTAGAATATCTATATTCTGCAAAACATCTAATGTTTTAGGTTGGAAAATAGAGCATGAAGAAAAATATTTACTTTCTTTTATTTCTTAAACATTTTAATACGACTAATGTTATACAGAAAACAAAAACTGTAACACCTACATGAACTACTTCCAGACAAAGGGATACAACTTCTAAAACAGTGAGTTTATAGTTCAATGTAAATGTAAGATGTCATTTAAGAACAATAAGGCAGATGCCTACGACAAATTAGGAAATTGGCACAGACTTTACTACTAAGTATATATATATATATATGTGTGTGTGTATTTGTGAATTGAATATAACAGTACAAAAAGCAAAATATGTTAACGTATAACATTGTACATTTACAAAACTGCTTTAATGTGATGGCTAAACTGAATAATTTGTCAATATACATCAACAATTATGAAGGGTATTCGGTTTAACATCCAAATGTGTGTGATTTACAACACAGGTTTATTAAAACTATAATTGTTAGCATCTTTCCATTTTAACCACGTTGGCCTATATATAGCAAAATCCGTTGCTGAGAACTCTTGATTTGATGAATGACTCTGAAAGTCAGAGAAAAGTTTGCTCATGGGTCAAATACAATTATTTAGTAACATAATAAAATATTTCACCAGAAAAGACTATTGCTAGTTTTTAAATAATTCCAGGGGTTTTGATGTTAATGTTATTATTACCTAACTTAAAGATAAGATTTTATTGACTATGGAATAATAAGAGATGGCCAACCCAAATACAAAATATGTGGCTCTGAAATATTGCACCTGTAGCCCTACTTAAATAGTTATATCTGTAAAACATGCAGACGCAATATCAAATCGTGATTTTTCAATGTAGCTCCAATTCTGATGATCGAAACTTCATATAGTTACTATATTGACTTCAACAGCATATGTTTCTGGGCAAAGCAATACTTTGTATCATCACTTTTCTTTGAACTTGAGTGCAAATGCATAATAGAGCACAGAATGAAAAAGGCACGCTTTAAGCAATAATCTTAAATTATGCCCAACAACCGTTGCAATATATGCCAGCAGGCTATTTTAAGTGGTCAAACAACCTTTTTAGCTACAAGAATACCAAAAGCATTGAAATAAGACTGCATACTGTACTTTGAACTAATAGATTGACTGCCTTCTCATGTTAAATTTGGACAATTAGCAGGAGTAGTTTTGGTTTCCCATCTAAAGGTCAGAAAAATCCATAGAATACATGTAAGATTCTATGCAGCCAGATCTTAAGGCAACATTATCAATGTGATCATTGAATGTTCAGACTGTGACTAGTCAGTGTGACCTAAGCTATGAAAGTAGGCTGGGTTTAACTGTTTTTTGCTTGATTCAGTTTTGTGCCATCATATCCAAGGGAAGTTCACATCTACTCCCTGTATTGTTGATGTTTGCTTCCCCAGTAATATAGATGCAGGGGCTCATTGCTTTCCCTTATTTTCCCTGGCTATTTTACATACATTCATTCGTTCATACAGCGAATGCTCCATTCCAGCACATCATCTCATTTTCATTGTAGCAGATGATTAAACGGATGTGTCCAAAATTAGTTTTAATTTGACGCTTGTCAGAGTTCAGGTTGCAAGTTTAGCAAAATACAGATAATGTTAAGAAAGAAAGAAAGAAAACAATGTACTGAAAAACATATGGTATTTACAAAAACAAATGAAACTGTAAGAATATTGTTATAAATACATTTCCATTGATACATCGGAGATAAAGAACATGTTATTGATATATAACTGCACATACGTTTGCATTTTTCCTATTTAAGAAATTATTTTTACCTACATAACTGTCCATTTATTTGAAACTTACATCAAGAAGAATATGCTGTTGTAGCATACTAATTAAAATAAAATATTGATTTGATCTCATGCATTGGCTGTCATGAAATGGTTGTGATTCTTTTAAGAATGCATGAGAACAAATTAGATTTTTTTAAAGAACGAGAATGATTAAATAAAAATGACACCTGAATTGCAGCATTTCAGTGAGCATCTAAAATGGCACTGCATTAACAAGAACAGTGAAATGTGTTCTCATGTATTCTGTGATGCGATGGATATGAAAATCTTCAATTTATTGGACAGCTATGTACAGTATTTCCAAATAGTACATTTTAAACACTATATCATAACTATCTATATATTTATCATCGATATAGCCATTCTTTTTTACACACAATTCCCTGGAACATAATGTAAGGTATCTCCACAGTTTAATTTATTCTATTGTAATGGCAAATGTGAACCATCCTTTATTTTGGAATTCTTTTGTGCATTCATACTTTTTTTCAGAAGCTTCCTTAGACTGTGCAAGTAAAACAAAAAAAAAACAAGAAAAAACAATGTTAGTGAATTGCACAGTTAAAAAGAATATAACATATGTAGAAGTATGCTATTTGCAGCCATACAAAGATATATACACAAGCATTCGGACAGTATTGATGTTACTAAAGTGGAAGAATAACTTCCGTATTAACAATAGGCAAGCAGTGGACTTAGCAGAGGATGTCCATAGTCTTGGTCAAGCCACTCAAAAACAGTTTGACCAAAAACTGGGAAAAGCTTCCACCACTCAATGGCACCATAACCACTATCTGCATGTAATGTTATGGCACCTATGTTGCCCCTTTAAGTATTTATGAAGCACTTATTTCTAGACTATCTGTATGTTTGTTTTATTGATTGAGTTGGTAGCAGCTATCTTTATCTTTTTTTAAGAGCTGTAATTTTTATTATGTTCTTCTTAAGAGCTCTTGAAGTCATTTGTTTGTAAACTATGCAGCCCTTGGATGCTGTGCTCCATAACGTTACCTGTTATTGCTGTGAATGCTACGTAAGCCCTTTATCCCACTGAGAATAACGACAGCTCAGACCAATTACATTAAATTTAAATATATGCACTTTCTATATTGGTTTAAGTCTGCTGTGCATTTTTCTTCCCTATTCATTTCATAGCTAAAACAAACTTCATATGTTTGAATTGTAATTGCCTTTCATTTTTATAGTAATATCAATGTGACATATAATTAGGATTTTTTATTCCATTTGATGAACGTATTTCATGGGAGAATTATTTCAACTTATAACATGTGGGTGATGTGAACAAACAAATCCGTATCGCGTAGATCAGCATTTGATTTAAAATGCTTAGGATGTTATTATTTCACTTGAGCAATAATATATGGGTAAATGCTAAGCTTTCACTAGTGGAGCTTTCTTCTTTTGTCACGGTGAAGCAATTACAAAATGGGATATTTTTTCAGTTTCTGTCACTTACTAGAAGGTCAGCTAAATGAGATATGGTTAGTTTTTTTAAGCAAGTTAATAAGATAAGAGTTATAATAGGTCTTAATGGGGTGAAATTGAGACATATTCAATTTGAGCATTCCTTTCAAGTCTTATATGTCTATTTACTCAGTGATTTACTAAGCAAGGAATTTGAGTGAGTTCACAAATGACTTCCAAGAATCAAGGCCAAAATGGGGGTGCTTTCAAAGTGATGCAGGTGTTGAGTTTTAATTCCAAGTTCAAAGTGAACTCTTGCTTTGGTATAGAAATGTTAACTTATTTGAATTGAATGAAACAGGTTTATTAGTGATAATTTTAATGTTCTCTTGGCCTGCTAATGTATGCTTTTGGGGACCCAGACCCTTCCTTTTTACAGCAAGTTACACCACATAACAATCTCCTGCCATGGACAAACACTCAAACAAGCTCAGATTAATTATGCTGGAGATATCCCAAATTACTGGGGATCTTCTTCAGAGTCCCACTAAGCCCAAAATAATGCTAAATGAAGAGGCTCCATTACCACCTTCTGAGAATCCCTTGATGGATTCACTGGATAAGTTTTTGTGGCTGGCTACCACCCTTTACATGCTCTTACTGGCCGGATGGCAGTAATGGATACGTCTCATCACATGAATGTGATTGAGGCATCAACCCTTCCATTGCAGAACTCATACACAGTCCTGCAGTTACTGGTGGAGGAATTGGATGTCCAGAGTCACTGCTGAAACCTCAAAATCTAAGGCATTAATTAAATCGTGGATTCAGCAGAACTCCAGCAGTTTTTGTGACAGCTATTCACCACTTTTCTCCCTCAATGCAGAGGTAAACCACTAACATTTGATGGCATTTTCTGTTTTGCCAAGTCCCCTAAAGCCCCAGGAGAAGCTTCGCAAGATGTAATAATGATTTTTCAAAACATTGCTGATAGGAATGCTATAATGGCAGCCACAAAATGGCCTTTTCAAATAGAGACACTTTCTCTCAAGTTTCTTTTGGACTTGCCAGCTCCACCACTAAGTGGCATTAATCCATGAAACCTATAACCAAGTGTTTGCAAAAGTCAAGTATTAGTTTTCGATGAGGATACTCATGGTCTCTGTTGGTAATCAGTGGAAGTACCTTTATTATACTCCGGGACTTATCAAAAGCCCAAACATATCTCCACTCATTGAATCTAGTCCCTATACCCCTAGAAATTGAGCAAATCTGTGTTCCTATCTACACAAACTGTCACTTAAATATCTCTACTACTAGAGTTGTGTGTTTTTGTTTTCTTTGGTTTCCTTCATTCTTTTTATTTTCTATGTTTTGCTGGTCTACTTTGGCTCAGAGGGTAAACGTTTGTCTCCTTTTTACCACAAATATTCAGAAAAATTGTTAAACTGCCTTATTTTTCTATGATTTGTGAAGAAAGCATGATTTGTACTCTGCTGTTTTACATAAAAAAATTGACATTTTAAAAAAACATTACTTACCTTTTAGCTGAATCTGTTCAATTAATTTGTGGGGCTCATTTTTTTACATTGTCCACTGACCTGTATAAGAAATGGTAATGCAATAAGTATGCAGGTGGCATAAATATATCACAAACGTTTTAAATCTCTGTTATATGTAGGCAATATTTACAGTATTTAAACATGTTTTTAGACACACAAATGCCCTGAGCAATTTACACTTTGGGCTTTGGGTGTCAAAGTTTATCTCGTGAATTATCCTCCACATCAGCATAATAATTGTGTATGGGAGCCCTTCCATAATTATTTATGAGGACCCATAACTACAGCTCCCTTTGTGTATTTTAAAAATATAATCCTTGGACAAAATCCAAGGATTCAGGAAATTTGGAACAGATCTATCTTTTCCTACAATTTGGTTACTTTGGTCTTCAGTTTCCCATGTCGATTATCCACAATTTCTGGTTTAGTGAATA